GTATGATCCTCAACATCTGGAATCCGCGTAGGCGATGTAACCAGTTGTGTCAGACCATATGCCAAGGCAAAGTCATAAACAGATCTCCCCGCATGATCGGTTAAACGTGAACCGAGCCATTCGGCGTGGTGGGCGTTAAAATCGCCAAGGATCACGATCTCTGCGGATGGGACCTGTTGTAGCAAGGAATCTGTAGCCATTTGGACGTGGTCAATGAGTCGGTCTGTTTCGGCATTACCGCTATGGGACCTATACTGTCGTCGCTGTCTACGCGTAGCCAAAGGATGGACAGGTCCGAACCTTCAAGACTGCCGAGGCGTCGAGAACAGATGTCCTCTCTGACATACACGCAAACTCCAGCCCGAGGCACAAAGGAGTGCTCCAATTTGTACCCCGGGCAGGAGAGATACGAAGTATCAGCCGGAGAGGCCACCAGCGTCTCGGTCAGAAAGAGCAAGGCCGGCTTCACCGTCTCAAGATGGTAGTGGACGGCGTTTAGGTTCGAGTGAAGTCCCCTGATGTTGCAGAAATTCACGGATAGCGTGGCAGGGGTCGCCTTGGTCTTGTTGCTCAGTTTGCCCCGAGCAGTTATTGTGTTGAGCGGAATTTTGCCCCCCCCCCCCCCCCCAGAATACGCGGGGCAGCCTGAGCACCCACGCTCAGGAGTGGAATAGCATGGTCGTGGATGCTCAGCGAGGGATTCTCCAGGGGTACTGGTACATTCCTGGGGTAGTTTATGACGTAATTCCGCTACCATGTTTATGGGGGGGGGGGGGGGGGGGAATTGGGCCTCCGGTCACTTGCACTCACCAGACGAAACGCGGAAGGCTCTACCTTAGCAATCAACCATCCACACCATACCCCGGCAACAGTTTCCACATTTTCTTCCTTACATCCTTATCAAATGCTTTCTCAAGATCCACAAAAGCACAGAAAATCTTCTGGTTAGCAGCCAGAAGCTTTTCCGTGATCATGCGGAGAAAAAACATTTGATCCATGCATCCTCTTCCAGGTCTAAATCCGCATTGTGCCTCCCATAGAAATCTTTCCGATTTCTCTTGCATCCTACGTGTCAAAACCTTATTATATATTTATATAGTATTTTTATATAAATATATAGTATATATAGTAAACTTTATTATATATTTGCTAAACTGGTCAAGCTGATCGCCCGATAGCACCCGCAGTCAAAATGTGAACCTTTACCTTTATATAAAGGCACAATGACTGCGGATCGCCAATCATCCGGGACATCCCCCGTCCGCCAGCACAAATTGCACAGCAGATGAAAGTTGTCCCAGACGCGAGGCCCACCATACTTGACCATTTCAGCAGTAACTCTGTCTAGTCCCGCAGCTTTACCACATTTCAAACTTCGAATCGCACGTTCAATCTCTTTCATACTGATGACCTCAGTGTCATCGAGGTCCGGGTCTGACGTACCAGTCACGGCGTCATCCCCGGATCCCTCACTAAGATCATCACACGCATACATTTTTCTATAAAATTCGCTCCATCGCTGCATGACGTCCGATTTTTCTGAGAGGACGTCATTAGTTCTCGAAAGCACTTTGTTCGTTCTTAAGGCCGTTGCACCACTTCGGGTCCTTCCAACTTCTTTCCAGAAGAGTTTGGAGTTCTCCTTAAAGTTGTGAGACAAACTTTCGACCGCTTCCATTCTACACCTTTCACGCACTTCCTCAATCAATGCTTTCGTGTGAACTTTCTGCAGCCTATATCTTTCTTTCATCTTCTCTCTCATATCCTTATTATTACTAGAGGCCAAGTAGTCTAACCATGCTTTCTTCTTCTTCTTTCACTTCATCATTCCATCATGCATCTCTTCTTTTACTACTACCTCTTTTTATTGTTATTCCACACACTTCTTCCGCTGCACTTACCATTCCATCCCTAAGGTTCTCCCATGTTCTTTCTACACATTCTTTTCTGCCATCGATGGTGTCAAGCTTTCGGCTACCCTCGCATGATATTTGTCCCTAGTATCCGCTTCCTGAAGCTTCCAGCTTCGGATGCGACAGACCGACTGTGGTTCTGTTACTGCCGTCCGATAGCGCCAACCCGCGAACAGACCCCTAAATCTAGTAATCACTAGATAGTGATCCGTTCCCAGGTCAGCACCCCTGAACACTCGCGTATCCATCACCTGTTTTCGCAGTCGGTCATCCACCAGGAACAAATCGATCATACTTCTCTCATTCTTTCGTTCTCTAGTATACATATGGATTTTCTTGTGATTAAACATAGTGTTTGTCACAAGAAGACCCTTTTCCTTGCACACCGCCAGTATAAGCTTGCCAGCATCATTAACCCTTTTATCGCCAAACTTTCCAAGTACCGACTCGTACCCTGGTCGAGCGGTACCAACCCATCCATTCAAATCACCGCATACAACAATTCTTTCGTTTCCCCTAGCCAAATCTAGAACTTCCCTTACATTCTCCCAAAACTCCTCCAGCTCAGCCCTGGACGACGAAGCTACCGGCGCATAAACAGCCAAAAGGAATAACTTCGTCAGTCCCAATTTAAAGCGAACCCAGAGAAGTCTTGAGTTCACAACCTTATATTCAGTCATAACATCGACCAACCGAGAAGACAGCAGCACCCCCACTCCCTGGCAGGCGTTCTCGCTCTCCGGGACTCCGGACCATAGAGCTAACGCCCCGCCAGGGAGCTCTTCAGTACCACTGCCCTTCCCTTTGGTCTCCGACATACATACACGACATCTAATTCTCTTTCTTTCATTATTTCGATCAACTAATTCGTATTATCTCTCATGCCTCCTCTAACATTCCACGTGCCAACTCTGCACTCTGTCCTCCACCTTCCGCCGTGTCGGGCTGTGGGTGACGGGTGGCGGTCCCCATCGCCGCTTTGCGCGCTACATTCCAAACCAACGGGGACGAGCTGGTGTGCGTCGCCTTGGGAGGACGCCCTAACCCTCGTTGGCATGGGTGCGCAGCTGAGTAGAATTGCAGCCCTGAAAAGGGCTGGCAGGAGTCGCGACGAGCACGCTTCTACAATGACCCCCTCATTATACGAGTATTTCCAATTTCTTTAAATATTTCAAATACAAAAAAAATTAAGAGAGAAAAAGAGAAAATGTTCAAATGCTGAAGTTAAAACTATTATAAAAGTATTGTTAGTATCCAAATCTATTTTATAAACGAATTTCGTCAAGTAACAAAAATCACAACTATTTCTGGTTTGTATTGAAGAAAACAGGAAGTAAAATAAAAAATATATTTAATGACAATATCAACATAATCTATGTACAAAACAGCCTTATGATATTCTTAAGCTAAATATGTTTGCACTAAAAGGGATAAATCTTTAATAATACAATTCTCTATAGACGTCTCTTCTAAATGTTCTATAGTTTTACTCTTTAACATAGCAACTCCATTAGCAACAGCACGCGATAACAGTACAACACTTTCATCAATATTTAATAACAAGACACATTTGTTTATCAAATTCAATATTTGTCTTTTTGTTAAAAATTTAATAGCCTTTTTAGACACTAATTTATAAAGACTAACATATTGCTGTACTTCATCAACTTCTAATCCTTCTAAATGATTTGCTAGTTCAATAGCTATAAGCAAAATCTTAAATTCCACGTCTTTATCTGTTTTCACATCGGCGGCGTCAAAAGTTCTTACATTATTAAAATTATTTTTCATATACTTTGCAAATGACACTAAACGCAGACTGTACAGCATGTTCTTGAGTAAATTGAACATTTCTACCACAACATATTTGTCGTCTTTACAAATATGTCTCACAGTATAATGCAACCACGACAAAAATCCGTAACCTTCTACTAATATTTCAAAAGCTCTCGGCACTGTCACTAAAGAATTCAGGGCACTTATAATTCTCTGCTTAGTTTTCCTATCGCACAACACAGTAGAATAGAAGTCCATAATCATCTTCAGACACATGCTTTTGAAAACAACATTGACATCGGTCATAGTCTTGGTTCCATCTCTAATCACATCAAGTATCCATTGCCTTCTGTCCACCGATTCTACGTCACTATCATGGAATAAACTGAGGAAATCTGGCACGGTAGTAAGATCAACAAACTGCTTTGCTATTAGGAAATTGTTCACTGGTTTGTAAAGAGGGTCGAAAGGAGCAGTAGACACCATCAAAGCTCTGGCTAGATAAAGGGCACCAACAGCTGGAAGTCGAGGATTTCTTACATCAGCAACTTCATCGATGCCGTTTGCTTGAGCGGTAATAGCTGTCGACAGACTTAGGCGCAACGTAGTGATGAAATCGGTTAGGAGCAGTTTGTCGTTTTTGTGTTTCCTAAAACAAACATTCAATTATTGATTAAAATGTGCAATAACATAAAAAACTTATTTTACTTTTTATAAACCAGTGCTTGACTACAATCCAATCTGTAAGCGGTGATGAAGCCGTAGATGGTAAATCGCACTGACTTAGAGTAACAAAAACCTGTTTACTGTAACCGAAAGAAGGACGAGATTATTCTACTCTTTTGCTGTAATGTGTACAGCAAAAGAGCGGACGTTGCAAACTGGGCCAAATAGTTCGAATGCGTAGAATATCGGATATCAACCTCAAAAAAGTTGAGATTCACCGACTGGTTATCCGATGGTGGAAAGTGGAGGGAAGAATTAAGGCATGCAACTCCCCCTTATATAAAAGAACTGCAGTCTTCCTTATCAATCCATATTTTTACCAGACTGCCCCAGGAGGGTAATGTTTTTCGAGAGAATGTATATGTCTATTTCATTGGCATTCTTTCCTCTAAACGGCTTGATGGATTTTAACATGTGGGGTGTCATTAGATTTATTTTAATTGTGGAAGTGACATAGGGAATAAAAAATATATTCAGTAAACTGTTATAAGCTGTATTAAAGTACTGACTCAAATAAATAACAAGCTTAAAGTATTTTAGTGAAGTCATACTTCTTTTCTTTAATTGCAAAGTGAATAAAATAACTTACGTTTCAGTTTCAAGTAGCATGCAGAATCTATGAAGAACGTGATACGCCGCAGATCGCATTAAAGGACAATGTGAACTCAGCGCCATCACCGGAACAGATAACAACCCAATACGCAGCAGCTTGAAGCAAGAGGCCACCGATCCAGGCGCCAAAAGATGGCTTAGTAAAGAAAACACAAAGATGGGATCGTATATTTCTGTATCAGAATCTGCATGAGAAAGACCCATGATGTCATTTTCATTAAATTCGTGCAGGAGTTTATCAAGCCGATGTTTTTCTAGTATTATCTTAATTGCAGCTTCGTTATCTTTTACAGAATTAACATTGATCTCATTAGATCCTTCACTCAAAAGTATTTTGAACGAATCTTCAGTATAGTTTTGAGGCAATTCATAAAAGTAGTCCAATTTTTGTGTTACAGGAAAATTTCTGACAGTCCTTTCGATTAAATCTTTATCAAATAAATTTAACACTTGATTTGGGGTCGGATGTCCCCATAAAGATGAAGTTCTGTTTTTCCGTACAGCATAGTAATTTGCAGCGGAATCTCCCCAAACATAAGGTTTATATTCGTTCACAGGTTGTTCATTACTCTCGTAGAAATATAAAATGGACAAGATAAGTCTGTCGCAGGAACTTCTTGTGGCACCGTATGCGCTCAAATAAACTGGTATCTGCTGTGACTTCATTACAGATTTATTGAGCGATATTAAAACGTAAAGGATCTCGAGTAATCTTGATTTGATATCAGGACTGTGATGACTTAGCATTACATTCAAAAACTCCGAGTGCGATGTTACCATATCGAAAATGGTGATTATATCTTCATGATTATTCGGATAAAACAATTTTACGAGCTTTGTCAGTAGGCATAAAAGTTTTGGTCCAGATTGTACAACTTGATTCGCGGTTTTGACTTTCAAGGAATCTTTTAAAACAGACTTGCAAAAATTTTGCCATACAGAACTCTCAGTTAATTTAACGAACTCCTCCTTCTGTTCGATGTGAAAGCCTGCTATAGAATGGCAAGCATATGTCACTTGTAATATATTGTACACAATTTCATTTAAGACATTTACTTCTACATTTTCTTTAATAGCAGTTGTTATTAAATGGAGCATCGATAAAAAGTAATTAATAAGATAATCCTTTTTCAATTCTTCGTCAAACAAACATATTTTTAAAAATGCCGATTGAAATAAGTTAACATGTCCTATTTCAACCGCCTCAAATTTGTGGCTCTTAGTAAACATTTTCTTACAATCCTGTACATCCATACTTTCGATAATTAACTTTCTTATAAACTTCCAAGTGGTTAGATAAATTTGTCCTGCTTTATGTGGTTTTTCCAGATATTTATTAATATTAGATTTGTATTCGTCAAAAATTCTTGACATAAACTCTTTGTTTTTTGATAAGAAAATATTATGATTCAAAATAGCATTCCCAAGAGGCAACGTCAACTCTCTTTGGCTTATAATTTCGTGCCTATTGATCTCTTCTTTAAAAATATTACAGAATTTGTCATTAAATTTCAACAACACCGATGCTAGATGCGAAGTAGATTTTCTTATCGTGTTTGCATGGAAAAAAGCTGAAAAGTTTTCTTGCGTCACGCATGTTACAAATTGCGGTTTATTTTCGAAATAAGCGATTAAAGCATTTTCAATTTCGCTTAAGTTTACTGAAACCTCAGATATTTTCAAAAGTTGAGTGTACATATTAAGAGATTTTTGCAACATGTCTTGTGGAAGATCTAATGTCAAAGATATTGCATATTTTTCGATAACTACGCGTAACACTTCTAGCATTAGACTCGGTTCTTTGTCATCTCTAACACAAGCAATGAGATCTGTATTAAATATATGATCTAAAATCAAAATATCGTCTTCCTTACGTAAACCAACTTCTTTAAGGATTTTTACAGTGTGATCACATTTTATATGTTTTCTTTTCTTTATCTTAATTAGCGATTTCATTACTTCTTTGTAGTTTTTCATTTTATAAGGTCTTAAAATATTTTGTTTTTGCTCTAAATTGTTGATAATATCTGAATGATGAGATATTACATATAGAAGAAATTTTGTCGCAATAATGTTTGATTCGCTTTTATTTAAGTCTATTGGTGAATAAATGTTAAGAACATGCGAGTTTTTGAACATATTCAAAATAACATTACGACAAAATTGCAACATGTGATGTTTTTTGCCTGTTGCAATTATACAATCAATATATATTTTAAGTTTTTCTTCTTCAGATTCAGATAATTTATTCATCTGGGTTAATTTTACAAGACAGAATATAAGATACTGTGTCCATATCAACAATTCGGAGCTATCAACGGTGTTAATTATCTTTAGTGGAATATTAGAAATCACTAAATCTTTGTCTTCTTCAGATGACTCTTCTAAAAATGTAAATACATCTTTAAGTGTCAAGTCTTCTTTTCCTATAAGAGACCGGGATAGATTGTGTAAGATGTTATCTTTACCTACAATTGTTTCTGATAAGGGCATTGGTTCTCCAACCCAACTAGCAACATAGTTTCTTACATCCAATTTTGAATCTTCCATAAGAATTTCCGTCATCTCTGGCGAATAATTGCAGTGAAGTAAGTTAGCAACATAAAGAGATAAAAATTGTTTTAAATTTTTCTTTGCTTCCTTATTATTTTGTGTATATTGTATACAGCCCACAATGAATGGCGAAGGAATCTTGTTCTCCAAGAATACATTATCATCACTGCTTTTGTTTTTCATTAGATCATTAAACAATTTATCTAAATTTTCTTCTTTACTCGCATCTGATATTTCGAAATGAATAATCTGGTTACGGACAAATTCAGTTAGTTCCTTTTTGTTTTCAATTGCATATTCAATGACATCACCTATAAGCGATATTGGATTCACTTTTACATTACGCAATGTGTGCAAAATCAGATGTATTTCATCCTCGTCACCTTCAAAAACTGTTGTGTTTTTAAAAAATATTTGTAGCGTATCTTTAGCTTCCATCCAAGTATTGTCGGTTTCATTAGTGTAAACATCTAACATTATAAGAAACAGGTCTTTAAACATTGGATTTTTTGTCGACACAGCAGAATTATCTAGCATTAACCATAACGAAACAATCTTGAATTTCAACAGTGATACTTTCTGACTGGACAATTTCATTGAGTAATCGAGAATGCTTTTCATATCTATATTTCCTTCAAGTGATCCAAAGAATGCAGGATGTAGGTCATTGTAAAGAAGCAATAACTCTACAAGAATCAACAATGCATCAGCATCATCAAACTTAGGTAAATGATAATCACGTACATCTTCCTCGTCCTTTGAACCATTAATGACATCTTTGATCAATGAAACTATTGTAAGTGGAGGAGGGACATGTTTCGGAAGAAAATATTCCAATTTATTTTTCAGCTCTACGACACGTGTATTAGAATCGTCGATGTCCAAAATTTGCATATAACGCCTTAACATCTGCAACATCTTCGCTAACACTTTAGCACAATATAAAGAAATTGTTCTATCTTTTCCAATATTTGGTTGAATGTGTTTTAACAAGGGAACAGGTAGTGTCACAAATCTTACAAAATTTGCTGTCTGCAAAGGTGTAAGATTTTTTAATCTATGAATTATATCCTCAGGTTTTAGTTTATCCATCAGTTTCATAACGAATTCAATACACTTTTCCCATATAGGAGAATGTTGAGGCTGAAAGCTTTGTTCAACAACATTAATGATTGATCTGTGCAAATCTGGGCATTTGTAAATTATCTGAAGGATTACTTCACATTCACTTTCATTTTCCCAAGGTCTTTTTAAGCTAAGTATGGATTTATATAAATTTTGATTTTTATTGGCATCTGTTGTTCCTAATGAGCTATCAATGAAATAGAGACCAAGTCTATGAGATGTGAATAATGTGAGCAAGATATCTGTTAATAGACTAATTATATCAGGACGTAATTTGTTTCTAAGTTCAATACTCATTTCTGGTGGTCCTTTCCATGCATACACTTTAAACATATTATGTAACACTTGTTGACTGAATGTTTTAAGCTTCAATGTCTTTGATATCAAGGAGTTGTCAATAATATTCTTTTTAAGAATGTTTAAAAACATAAGCACTGCTTCGGCATCATCATGAACTAACCCTGGTATAACAAGTCCAAGGAGGCCTTGTTTCTCCAGTAACGCTTTTATAAGTGGCAGATGACCTTCTACTATAAATGATGTCATGAAATGCACAAATGCAGTTCTAACATTATCCTTTTCCTTATAATTCGGCTTCTCAATAATATATTGCAAATGTTTAGGTGTCAATGGCACTTGATTAAGAATTTCCACACCCAATTCAGAATTCAGTGTTACCATTGATGTGAGAAGATTAAGAACGATTTTTCTATGCCGTGGACCCGAACTTTCGCTTATCATTATCTCAACCGTTGGTATAAATGTATTAAGAAAATATCGACATGCTTCTTCTGTTATTGTAATCAGATGAGGCAATGACGACTGCACCTTTAGAATGATAAGATGAAATAAATGAAAGGCTGGAGTTGCTAGAGTGAGGTTTTTCTTGTTCTCTTGTGAGATTTGCCGAAGTATTTCATGTGAGTTACCACCAACTTTCAGGTACTCTAAAATGTAATCAACCTCATTATCTGGATTTAGACAAACATTCAAGAACTGTGTCAAAACTGAAAAGAAAAAACATAAATCAATAATCAGCAAAAACATATGGCTTAAATCAACAGCACATTAAAAAAGTGTTGTTTAAGGTGACCCTAGCTAGATAAAATAATTTATAAATAGTGTGAGCATTTGCGGATTCAAATTACGCATTTTGTGAGCAATTATGGGCAGTTATTCATTTAAAAAAAAGTTTATTGGTTTTAAGTATAATAGACAAAAACAGTTCTGTATTTTAAATTATTAATTACTAATTAAATAATTAATTAGTAGTGTGAGCAATTGCAGATTTGAGTTGAACATTTAGTGAGCAATTATGAGCGCATATTCATTAATCTGATCGGTGTAGGAAAAAACAATTTTGTATTTTAAATTATTAATAAATAATTAAATAATTTATTAATAGTGTGAGCATTTGCGGATTTAAATTAAGCATATTGTGAGCAATTATGGGCAGTTATTCATTTAAAAAAAAAAGGTTATTTATTTTAAGTATAACAGACAAAAAAATTCTGTATATTAAATTACTAATAACTATTTAAATAATTTTAAATAGTGTGAGCAATTGCAGATTTGAATTGAGCATTTAGTGAGCAATTATAAGCGCATATTCATTAATCTGATCGGTGAAAAAAAAACCATTTTGTATTTTAAATTATTAATAAATAATTAAATAATTTTTTAATAGTGTGAGCAATTGCAGATTTATATTGAGCATTCAGTGAGCAATTATGAGCGCATATTATTTAATCTGATCGGTGTAGGAAAAAACAATTTTGTATTTTAAATTTTTAATAAATAATTAAATAATTTATTAATAGTGTGAGCATTTGCGGATTTAAATTAAGCATTTTGTAAGCAATTATGTGCAGTTATTCATTTAAAAAAAAGTTTATTGGTTTTAAGTATAATAGACGAAAACAATTTTGTACTTTTAATTATTAATTACTAATTAAATAATAAAGTAATAACGACAGCAATTGCAGACTTAAATTGAGCATTTAGTGAGCAATTATGAGGTTTTGGAAAAAACAATTTTGTATTTTAAATTATTAATAAGTAATTAAATAATTATTTAATAGTGTGAACAATTGCGGATTTCAATTAAGCATTTTGTGAGCAATAATGTGCAGTTATTTATTTAAAAAAAGTTTATTGGTTTAAAGTATAACAGACAAAAACTATTCTGTATTTTAAATTATTAATAACTAATTAAATAATAAATTAATAATGTGAGCAATTGCGGATTTGAATTGAGCTTTTACTGAGCAATTATGAGCGCATATTTATTAATCTGATTGGTGTAGGAAAAAACAATTTTGTATTTTAAATTATTAATAAATAATTAAGTAATTAATTAATAGTGTGAACAATTGCGGATTTCAATTAAGAATATTGTGAGCAATTATGAGCACTTATTCATTTTAAAATTGGTTTATTGGTTTTAAGTATAATAGACAAAAACAATTCTGTATTTTAAATTATTAATATCTAATTAAATAATAAATTAATAATGTGAGCAATTACGGATTTGAATTGAGCTTTTACTGCGCAATTATGAGCACTTATTCATTAATCTGAGTGGTTTAGGAAAAAACAATTTTGTATTTTAAATTAATAATAACTAATTACATAATTAATTAATAGTGTGCACAATTGCGGAATTCAATTAAGAATATTGTGAGCAATTATGAGCACTTAATCATTTAAAAAAAGTTTATTGGTTTTAAGTATAATAGACAAAAACAATTCTGTATTTTAAATTATTAATAACTAATTAAATAATTAATTAATAGTGTGAGCAATTGCAGATTTGAATTGAGCATTTAGTGAGCAATTATGAGCACTTATTCATTACTCTGAATGGTTTAGGAAAAAACAATTTTGTATTTTAAATTTTTAATAAGTAATTAAATAATTATTTAATAGTGTGAACAATTGCGGATTTCAATTAAGCATTTTGTGAGATATTATGAGCACTTATTCATTTTAAAATTGGTTTATTGGTTTTAAGTATAATAGACAAAAACAATTCTGTATTTTAAATTATTAATAACTAATTAAATAATTAATTAATAGTGTGAGCAATTGCAGATTTGAATTGAGCATTTAGTGAGCAATTATTGGCAGTTATTCATTTAAAAAAAAGTTTATTGATTTTAAGTATAATAGACAAAAAAAATCTGTATTTTAAATTATTAATAACTATTTAAATAATTAATTAATAGTGTGAGCAATTGTAGATTTGAATTGAGCATTTAGTGAGCAATTATTTGCGCATATTCATTAATCTGATCGGTGTAGGTAAAAACAATTTTGTATTTTAAATTATTAATAAATAATTAAATAATTTATTAATAGTGTGAGCATTTGCGGATTTAAATTAAGCATTTTGTGAGCAATTATGGGCAGTTATTCATTTAAAAAAAAGTTTATTGGTTTTATGTATAATAGACAAAAAAAAATCTATATTTTAAATTATTAATAACTATTTAAATAATAAATTAATAATGTGAGCAATTGCAGATTTGAATTGAGCATTTAGTGAGCAATTATGTGCACCTATTCATTAATTTGACCAATCATACTTCCAAGCCAACTTCTTTGTGCTCCAAATCCTTATCAAAATTGCGCTATATCTTACGAAAATCCGCTTTCTAAAATCTATTGAATTCTGCTAATTTGTATGCTGCAAATGTATGAGGGAGTAAGAAAAAATGCGGTTATTTAAGAAATCTTTATTTATTTAATTAATTTTAGGTACTAAAATCAACTAAATGAAACAATTTTAGTCTTCATCACCTCAAGATATCGATGATGTACACCTGCTGCTGTTCTTTTTTTATAGTTTTGGTAATTTTGTCGAGGACTTAAGATGTTTTTATTTATGACCCATCATTAAATTTGAGTTCACTTTTTCAACTGACATATGGTAACGTAGCTTACTATTAACAATGTTCATAACACTAAAAATCCGCTATACTTCGGCATTTGAATGTGAATGCGACAGCACACTGATAGACAGGATGTAGAAATATACAATAAAAAGCCATTCATCCTAGCCGTATTTTTCTATTCAGAGATTTAAGCCCAAAATTTCACTGTAACGTCACCATCACTTTCTTATTTGACCAATTGAATTCCATCGAAAAAAATCGAAAACTGCGAAGCTGTCGGTCGCAAACCAAAAATAAAGCTGTAACTAAGGCGTCGGTAACTAGGTACCTAATTATCTAGATCTACCTATAAATAATAATATCTTACCTTTCGGTAACCTTAGGAACAGTAAATAATGAAAAGTCGACATTCCTATTGTTATTTAAGCACCCGCATGATGTGCAGTACCTTTTGGCTTTTTCAGTGGCTTATATGTTATATACTTGAATAAAAACTCAAAAATAAATATAAAAAGTGGCTAAATACTTATACTCGTAAGAGAAAAATACTTTTTTGTTAATGTAAGGCGCGCGTCAGCTCAAGCGTGCGCGTGACAACCGTGAATTAGCCCCTCGTAGGGGGCCGCACAGCGTAGGTATATTTTCATGCCTAAAGCGCGGAGTGAGACAGGCCTGCTATTAGCAGAAAGTATATATCACAACCGATTAAGAAGGTATGTAAATAGATGCGCTGGCACTTCTTATTAGTTTGTGATATATAGAATATAATAATAATAATAATTTATTTGATACAGACAACACAGATCCATTACAAAATTAAAATTAATTTTTTTTTAAACTATAAACTTAAATTTTAATTATAATTATTGGTTAATCAATGATATTATTACATTTTATTAATTACATTTTAATAAATTTGACCATCTACTAAAAATTTCACTACATGCATACATATTACAAATAATTTTGATGAGATTATTCTGCGACCCAAAAACAAAACTTCTAAATCACGCGATACGGTGACGGATCAACGCATCCAAACCAACGACACGGGCCTCTGCGAACATCTGAGACGCGCTACAGTATTGTGGCTGACGGAACAACACGCGGAACGAATCATTATACTGCACCTTCAGCCTGCGATATTCCTCTTTAGTGTAATTCGTCCACAGCTGAGGAGTGTAAAGTGGCTGACAGTAAGCTGAAAACAACGCCAGCTTTGAGGTATAAGAACACCTTTGAAAGCGTCTAGCTATCATGTTGGCACGCACTGACAAGGAACGACGCTCGCGGTCCATATCGGAACCATCACACAGATCCTGAGTAACAATATGACCCAGATATTTAAACGTCGTTACCCACTCCAATTGTGAATTACACAAATATAATGGGGGGATATGAGGTTGAACCCTACCACTCTTAAAAAGCAAACAAACAGACTTGTTGGTGTTGTACAATAGGTTATGATCCATTGCATATTTCTCACATATCTGGAGTAGTGCACGCATCGCACCAATCGAGGGACTCAGCAGCACCATATCATCAGCATAACTCAAGTTATTAAAGCATTCAGAACCAATGTGGCAACCCAGTCCGGTGCATCTAAGCTCCTCGATCAGCTGATTAACATACAGATTAAAAAGCATAGGC